TCCAGGTGACTCAGAAATTGCCTCTGTTACAGAAAATTGAGTGAGACCCGGGTGGTGTAATCACCAACCTAAATCACTAAACCACATGGCTGGATTCAGAATCTGTATTCTTCAAAGTTCAAATTTCATACAAATTTCATTTTAGAAAACTTGAATTTGCACCTGAAATAAAATTACATATGGATATATACAGGTAATAGTGAGTTTTGATTAATACTTTTCGTGAACAACTAAAGCGCTTTTAAAATTTCATAAAGTATATATACACTTTTTAAAAGTTTTACATAAAGTTATAGAGAGAGACTTGAACGTTGACATAATGGGCAAAAACATCAAGATAAATTTATTAGATTCAGGGATAACCACTCTCTTTTCATAATATCTGAGGTTAAATTTTGATTTAACAAAAGAATTCATTCTTTAGTGAAGCTAATAACTACACCATTTATGCTAATAAATAAGACTAATACACTAGATTGACATCATGGCTTAATCTTTTTTTTTTTTTTTAAAGATTTTATTCATTTATTTGAGAGAGCAAGAATGAGAGAGAGAGAGAGTACATGACAGGGGGAGGGTTAGAGGGAGAAGCAGGCTCCTTGCCGATCAGGGAGCCCGATGAGGGACTCGATCCAGGGACTCCAGGATCATGACCTGAGCCGAAGGCAGTCGCTTAACCAACTGAGCCACCCAGGTGCCCCATGGCTTAATCTTTTGTCAATAGCAAGAGTTCTGACATGATAAACAATATCTGCACAAACATTTCAGAAAACTGGCGGTCTTTAATAAACTCAGATACTCATGCTCCACAACTCAGTTATTAATGCACTAGAGTGCCCATATTACCATCGGTGCTGGTCAGCAATGCTGAACATAAAAAGCAAACTAAAGACGACTAAAAACACAGGATACCATTTACATAAAAAATTTAAAACCTGCAATAGCACATATTGCTAAGGGAGACATATACTTAAAGAAATATAGCTCAATGCACAGGAATGTCATAGATCAATATGGGATAGTGGAGGAGGGAAGAGGGCAAACATGGGAGAAAACGCAGTGGCTTCACAGGGGTTTTCATCTTATTAGTCTTTACGCCTTGCTGTAGGTCTTGAATACTTCATAATAAATTAGAAAACATCTTTCTGCCAGATGACAAAATTCTGTTTATACTGCCAGATTTCATGTCATCTTGATGAATATATGACACTAACACATAACAAGAATATTTTTGTGCTACATCCCATCTTCCAGCAGAGTTACTGCTTCAGTTTTTGAAAACATTCTCTCACTGAACAAATACTTACTGAACACTGTATTCATTTTCTCATTCTAACTACTGAACCCCACTACATGCCAGGCAGATAAAATAAAAGAAGCAAAATTACTGGTCTCTGCCCTCATGTAGTTTAAAACCTAGTGGAAGCAGCAATTAATCAAATAAGTACATGATTAACAACACTTTACACCTCATCACTCCTTCCGTCTTAAAAATACTTCCTTCACTTGGCTCATCAAATTCTGTACTAATAACCTGACTTTCCTCCTAAATCACTCGCTGTTGCTTTTTCATCTCTTTTGCTAGTTCCACCTAAACACTAACTAGGACCCTTCTCCTGTCTATATTCACCCACACTTGTGAAATACCTCTACAGTGACCTCTCTCAAACTACATTTGAAGCCTGGACAAATAATATAGTTACGAATTACCTAATTCGGCATTCTAAGGAACATGCAAACCCAAACATGTCCAAAGAGCCAAACTCCTGCTCTTTCCTCCACATCTATTGCTCTGGTCTTTCTCCACAAGGCAGCATTGCACATAATATTCTAAACGAATGGCAGCCCCAGGAGTTGTGAACACGATAATAATAATTTTCCATCTCAGAGAGTATCAACTACATGCTTCTGGTGTCAGGCCAAATCTCTGGCATCATCCTAGACTCCTGTTGCACACAGCGTCTAACAACTACTCACCATCTCTTCCACTCCCATCCTGACCCAAGCCACACTGTATCTCACACTTAGTTCAGTCCTTGGTACCACCCCCACCCCCCAGTTAGCAGTCAGAAGTGACTTAAGAGCTACTTAAAATCTGTCAGAAACTGCCACTCCTCTCCTTGAAACCCTCCAAGAACCTACCATCTTTTTCAGACTAATGATCTGCAAGGCTCTAGATGACATCTAGCCCTCACTCTACCTCCCTCCCTCACTATAGCTCACTGGCCTTTGCCCTAGCTGTTCTCTGCCTGGCCCCAAATACCCATGATTTGCTCTCTCACTTCCTTCAGGTCTTCACTCAGATGGCCCCTTCCCAGGGAAGGCTTCCTGAAGCCAACCCATCTAATATCGAAACTCCTGCTGCCCTCACTCTCTGTTCTCTTCTGGCTGCTTTATGGTTTTCATGACACACTACCTAGCTCATCTCACTCAAATATAAGATCCACCAGGGCAGGAATTTCAGTCTGTTCACTGCTGTACCAGTAACTAAACCAGTGTCTGGCATTTAATAAACACTCCGCAAATACTTGCTGAATCACAAAACATCAATGTAAACTTGCAACTGACAAGTCCAGTGAAGAAGCAGAGAATGCTAGGAGAACCTGCAGGAAGACAAGAAAAGCTTGCCTGAGAAAGTCAAACTTGATCTGACAACTGAAGGATGAATAGGAGTTAATTACAATGTGCACAGGCTCAGCGGTGACAGGGACTACAAGTCCAGTGTAGCTAGACGAGAAACTATGAGGAGATCTGTAGATCACATTAGGATAGTTTGTCTTTATCCTCTGAGCAACAGAAAGCCACTAAAGTGTGTTAAGAAGAGGGATCATATGAGCAGATTTAGATGTTTGAAAACATTACCATGGGTGTTGGACAGAGAGAAGTTTAGAAGGGTTGGTGGATACAGGTAGATCAGTAAGGGCACGCAGTTGAGATAAAATGGTATTTTGGATTGGTGTGTTGGGAGTAGAGAGAGAAGGGATAGATAAGATACTTAGGATATTTAGAAAAATCAATGAGATTGGTATTAAGTTAGATAAGGGAGTGGGGCCATAGGAATTTTAAGGTTTGCTTCCAAATTTCACAAAGTAGTGTTAGATGTCCCAGGAAAATAAAAAATTCCCACACTGATATGAATTCTATGTCATTATCTAGAACTTCAATGTCCAGAGCTCCTAGTCACACATGGCTATTGAGCACTTATAATGTGGCTACTTCAAATAAAGATGCGTCATAACTGTACGATACACACTGAATTTCAAAGTCTTAGTAGAGAAAAAAAGAATATAGACTACTTCAATAATTTTATACTGATTAAAAGTTGAAGTAATATTTCAGATGTTGTAGGTTAAATAAGATTTTAAAATTAATTTCATCTGCTTCATTTTTACTTCATAATGTGGCTACTAGGAAATGCAAAGTTACATTAAGTGGCTCACAGTGTATTTCCATTAGACAGCACTAATCTCATAGGAAATAGCAATATGGTCATTGTCATTTATTCAAAAGGAAAAAAATATATCAAAGGATAAGATGGCTGAATTTCAGGGCAAAGAAAGTATAATTTTTGTAAAGAATTTAGTTTGTTTTGTTCAGGGATGTGAGGAAATTAAAATTTCAGTTTTTGTCATTTTTTTAAAGATTTTATTTATTTGAGAGAGAGAGCACACGCATATGTGTGTGACAAGCAGGGGGGAGGGGCAGAGGGAGAGGGGCCTGAGGCCATTTTCTTTTTCTGCTTTATGTGCAGAATATATTATTTCTCCTATCCCTAATCTAATGGTTCTACCAAGAGAATCCTCATGGTATGGAGTAAATGTTAGGAAAAGACAGAATTGTGGAAATGAAGGGACTCAAGAGATCATTTAGGCCCACCCCTTCATTTTGTAGGTGACAAACTTGAGATATTAAGACATTAAGTAACTTAGAAAAAAAAAAAGACATTAAGTGAATTACTTGAAAGTCACAAGACTAATAATGTCTTTATCACCTAAGACACAGTATGTTTTCTCTAACTCCTTACAATAATTACAGTGTTCAGGGCCACTGCATACTTGTATATACAATAAATACACTATTATTTTGTTCCCAAAAGAACTAAAAAAATTATCTATCTTATGACACTGAATATTGGTATTATCAATAGCAATATTGCTTTTTAAAGATTTTATTTTAGAGAGTGCGTGCACTCATGTGTGCAACTGGGCAGAGGGGCAGAGGAAGAGGGAGAGGGAGGGAGAGAATCTGAAGCAGACTGCGCTGAAAGCGGAGCCCAAGGTGGGGCTCGATCTCATGACCCTGAGATCATGACCTGAGCTGAAACCAAGAGTTGGATGCTTAACCAACTGGGCCATCCAGGTGCCCCCATCACTTACTTAGTTTTGGTGTACAAAATCCTACTTATATTCTTACTTGATAAGAGTGGAAAAAGTATTAGTTTTTAGAGTCTGAAACCCAATTCCCATACTTAGCTGTGCAGCAAAGACAACTGTCATTCTGTTTTCTCATCAGTAAAATAGGTACTACCACACTTGGGTTCACACACACACAGCATAATAAATGGCTTCCAGTAGGTAGATGCATAATAAGTAAAAAATGCCTTCCATGATCCTCCCTCTTCTCTCCAAAATGTTAACACACTGTCATATTATAAAGTCATAAAGATACAAGGGAACAAACTGCTGGAGTTGTGAAACCCAGTTTCTTATTCCCAGTGTCCTTTGAAAAAGCTTCAAAGCCTTGAGTAAATCATTCAACCTAAGTCTGTTCACCCCTCAGAAGAGTGATGAAGCCTGATCAACCAAAATGACTGAAACAGTCCTACCTATGACTCAGTGATTTTTATCTATGACTGCCACATGAGTTTCTGAGGACAGTCACATCAAAAGCTTTAAACATTTAAACATTAATATGAATTTGACATTTCTAAAACTTAATTTGGGATACTGTTAATGACCACTCTGTGTATGTTTAAAAGGAAAGTTCTTAAAACTACTCACATCTGGTTGAATGGCTTTAAATACTGGAACATCCATTAGTGTTATCTGACCCTGAAATAAAAGGTAAAAAATGAGAATTTCTCCTTGGGAATTCTATGACATGACATATACTCTAAATTAAAATTATATTCCATACTAAAATATACTGAATACTCAAATTTTTACTAGAAAAAGTAACAATTTTACAATGGATTACAGAAAATGAAAATTTGCCCTTATACCATTATTAAATATGATTATTTCAAATTATCTCATGCCGATTCATACTTTTTTATGAGATAAATGAGGTAAAGTTAGAAAATAAAACAAAAATTATTTTAAAAATTTGGACACAGTCATACATTAAATCAAAATCAAAACCAAAAATTAGATCTACTGGTTCATGGAGCAGTACTATGGTGATTATTTCCCCAAACAGTAATATAAAATCTGATGTTAATATAAAAGTTTTCTTCCCTATTTAGAGTGACGCTTATACTAGTGGCAACTCATATCTAAGGATTGCACATGGATTGGCCCCACAGCTCAGGGTGGAGGGCACTGGTCTTGTAGGGACTGCACATAGCTGTGGACCTACCCCAGTCTCACTCAAGGCTACAGCTGTAAAACAAGACCCAATAATATACCAAAGAATAATATGTTATAACTGAACCGTTTATTCCGGGAAGGCAAGAGTGGTTCAACAACAGGAAATCAAATATGCTGTTAACACGTTAAAGGAGAAAGAGAACTTAAATGAACATTTATGTCAGTTAAGAAAGAAAAGTTTTTCTAGGTATCTTTCATGATATAGCAATAATGCCCTCAAATTTCTTTTTTCTGTTTTTTAATTTACAAAAATGTAAAAATATTTCTTACATAGGTTAATAAAGCACAGCTGGTTGGCTTGGAGAGATGATATAGGTAGGAGGCAAAAGCAATTACCATAAAGGTAAGTACTCATACTTTTTTCCCCCTAATGTGGTGTTGTTTGTTTTGAGTAGAGTTGATGCACGATGTTACATTCCTCTCACGTGGTAAGTACTTACTTTTTATTCACCAAATTGAAGGTGTAAGGAAGGAAGCTGCTCTATACCGCTCCCCAGCTCTTCCTCCCCTCCCCATTTCACCCCTCTGCTTGCTTCACTGCTGTGCTGCTACTCTCTCCATCAATTCCCGCATCCAGTTGTTTTTAACCACCTCCTTCTGCTGCGCCTTGGCTCAACAGCATCAATGTGTAAGCTATGTGCAGAAACTGCAGAAAGGGGAGGTGGGAAGCTTACCGCATATTCTTCTGGTGTAACCTTAAGAACATCAAAGACCACAGCATCAAAGCTTTTCTTCAGTTCGGAACCTTTGTCACTTAATGATTCGGAACTGCTACTTTTCTGTTAAATAGAAAATGCAGCCATTTTAATACTGTCTCACAGCTGATGCCCTAGAAACTCAACTGGCATTAAACATTGAGGAAAGTGAAAACAGTGGGTCAACAAACACTGCAGAAAAACGGGGGACCAGATGCTGCTTAGCTGAAGAAGCACTAGATAAAGGGTCAGGCAAGTGAAAACCTAACCTAGCTTCTAGGTTCTTGAGTCATTTTCTTGTCTGTCAGTTTCCTCATCCTGACATTCCACCATTTCTTATAGAAATTAAAGATTTTAACAAGTTTGATGATTCTCAAATGAGGTAAAGGGAAGTTAGGGAGAAGAATACTGTTATTTATAATTTATAAACTAATGTTTTTAAAGAAAAAGACAAATGGTTTTCATAACTTAAACCATAAGAAAATATTCAGAACTTCATTAAATAATCCAATATTTGTTAAGTGATGTCCACCTGTGATAGTACAACTGATACTATTCTTCCTATTATATTACAAACTTCAGGGTTTTTTGCTTTAAGGTCACTATTTCAAGTCCGAATTTGCTGTTACTGCATGTAGAACAAAAGGTGGCTTTTGGCTCTGAAAACCTTATTTCTGTTCTATTTCTGTATCTGCACCATAAGATAAAAATGTATTCTACCTCAGTTGGCTAAAATCAGAGCATCATCACTGTAAGAACACTTAGATCATGCTCTATTAAATGGAGGCAGGAGATTAAGGTTAATGGCACAAAAAATTAACCCAAGTTTCAGTTACCAATGTATAACGTATACGTCAGCCTACCAGCTGTGATGTATCAGTTTTGAGCACTTGTCATCATGCCTCATTTTTATGTTTTCTTTCACTTTCGCAGCTAAATATCAAAATCATTTCAAAGGAAAGGATCTGTCATTAATTTGGGAAATTTCATTATTATATTTCAAGTATTTCTTCTGCCCCTTTCTCTTCTCCTTCTGGTAGTTCCATTACATGTATGCTACACTTTCGATCATTGTCCCAGTCCTTGGATACGCTATTCCATTTTTTTTTTTCTTTCTATTTTCTCTCTGCATTTCAGTTTGGGATGTTTCTATTGACATATCTTCAAGCTCATGAATTCTTTTGTCGGCTGACTATTGCCCACCCGTCTACTGGTGAGCCGATCAAAGTCATTCATTTTTGTCACAATGTTTTTGATTTCTAGTATTTTCTTTTGATTCTTGGCATTTCAATATTCCTGCTTACATCACCCATCTGTTCTTACAAGTTGTCCATTCTTTCCATTACAGCCCTTAGCATTATTAATCACGAGTCTGATTATTCCAAAATCTTTGCCATATCTGACTCTGGCTTTGTCTATTACCTGCTTTGTCTCTCCAGACTATGTATTTTTCTTACCTTTTAGCAGGCCTTGTAATTTGCTGAAAACCAGACATAATATATTGGATAATAGGAACTGAGGTAAATAGGCCTTTAGTGTAAGGATATGCTTCTAAATAAGTAAGAGTCATGCTGTGTTTACTGTTTGTTGTACTTGAGGTGTCTTGAGTCTTCAATTTCCTCTCGTGTCCTTCTTTGGGTTTCTTTAGAAACTCCTTCTTAGAATCTGTGCCTTGCTGTTCTTTCAGCTATACCCCTTCATTATTACACAGAGGCCCTGTTGATGTGGTGGTAAAGTATGCACGGAGAAAGTCCTACAGTCAGGTCTTTTAGTGGCCTGTGCCCTTGGGCTGTGACCTCAAATACTTCTCAGTACCCCACTGCCAATACCTTAGAAAGTGAGAAAGAAAGGCTGAAGGAAGCTGGAGTTGGGTATTTCTTGTCCACCAAGTAGGTTAGGCTCTGGTAAAGTAGTTTCCCTTGAGGTCAGGGGGAGAACAGATTGCACTGGGCACATTTCAAAATGGTTATTTTCCCCTCCCCCTGCTAGAAGCAGTAAGAGATTTTTCTCTGATCTTCACTGTGAGAACCTGGTAGAGCTTCTAGAGGTAAAACACAAAAGTGGGGATTGGGGGAACCTAAGATTGGGCCCCCAGGAGTCCACACATAGCCTCCAGCAATTTCTCAACTATAGCTTAAGTTTTGCTACCCATTTCTGGCTTCAGTGATTTCTGCTCGTGGTAAACTAATTCTTTACTTGTCTCTCTCTCCAGTTTTTGGGTCATCACTGTCAGTTTGCTCTGTGACATCAATTTTCTGATAGAGCTAAGAAGAGTTACTGATTAACATCATGAATAAATTTCTAAATTAGTCTTGGGATATAAAATAATATCGTTGACATAAGCTAGTCATAATTACAGAGAATAACACATGAAATAAAATACTATGTATAAAATCTGATGACGGGACTTTGGTTTCTGCTCAGATATATAAAGAGGTTGGAATTCATCACTCCTGCCTTCATAACATGAAAAAAACTGAAAAACTGAACAAACAGACATCAGTTACTGACCAAATAACTAAATACATTCTATCAAGTAAAGATATTAATTTTAAATATAACTTTCTCCAAGTTTTTAACTCATTCAAGGCAAATTAGCAAATCATAATGGCAATTTTATTACTTATCAAAACAAGTAATCACTTTCCTTTTTTCATTCTTACAAGTCATTAGGAGAGGCTTAAGGAATTATGAGCAAGATGCTTCTATCTGCTTCCCCAATACCAATAAATAAGTTGGTACTGATAAGCTACACAGTACTTAAGCATAATGTCCACTAAGGGAATAGTAGTAATTCTTTATTCGAGACTAAAAACCACTGACACTTCTGAATATCTGAAAAAAAAATTCACTGCAGCTCTTCTGATCTCAGGAGTTTCTAGTACAGGTAAAATATTAAGGCACTAAGACAGGGAAGTCAATCACCCAGATCAAGTATTTTGTCCAATTTGTAAGCTTATCAGATTTATGGAACATTTGCATTTTGATATGTTAATAGATCTGTACTTTAAGAGAAGGTGAAAAATATGTATTTTTAATTTCACTTTCTTGCCACAGTGTAGAACAATTTAAAAGACAGCCTTTTTCCACTTACCAAATACTAAATTACACTACTCTGAGGCCTGATGTTAGTTCACTCACTTTCATAGGAGAGTCAAGAGATTTTTTTACACAAGTAAAATGATCTATTTTATTTAACAAATAATTATATACTGTTTCCTGTAATACTAGACCAAATATCTCAGGATATATAGTTATAAATATCAGACACGCACACACACACACACATATATATACACACACACACACACACATTTAACATATCCAAAAAATATGGTTATAAAAATACCAAGTAAACATAAACATAATATAAACATATATATAAACATGTAATATAATCCTTGTCTCAAGGAGAAAGATAAGTGATGTATAAATTTATGGAAAAAATTATTTTAAAAGTGGGTTTTTTTTTTAAATGATAGTTTCAAAATACAAAAGCTATCTGTTTAGGGGATCAGGAAAAGACTCTGCTGAAAGTATAGCATTTGAAATAGGTTTGAAAGACAGCCAAAATGTCTTTTTTTGTGCAGAGAGGGAGGGGCACAGTGGAGTGGGAAGAGAAATGCCATGTGGAAAAACTGATACAGACAAAACTGTAACAAAAGTAGGAGAAAACAACGGTTTATACAAACATCAGCAAGATACAGTACTCTTTCATTAGAATGAAATTTCAAGTCAATAATTAGTGGGAGTTAAATCTATTAAAAAGAAAATGTAAAGTCACTTGGACGAGAAAGTCTTGAATAAAAGGTTTAGGGCCATGGTATTTCATTAGTAGGCAATGGAGAACCACGGACAATTTGGGGATACAATAAAGCTTAAGAGCTGTATTTTAAGAATATTAAAATTGAATTACAGTCAAACGGACCAAAAACAGCAGAGAACAGAAGTACAAGATCAAACTAAAGGCCTGCTGCAATAATGTAAACAAGAAATAATGACCAAACTCTGATGGTGCTGGCAGAAATAAGGAGAAAAGGACCGGATCCTAGCGATGAGGTTTGCTGGACGGGCTCTCAGACGGCTACCGACCGACGGTCTCCCTCTCCTGGCACTCACAACCTGTGTGATTCCCTCCACTTGGGTGTGGGCAGGATTGTGACCTGTTTCTAACCAACAGAACATGGCAAAGAGAATGGGCTGTTGCTTCCATGACGACATTACAGAAGACTGTAACTTCTGTTCTGCTAGTGCACTCTCCCTGCTGAGATTAGAAAAATGACTGTGGTGCACAAAGGGGAAATCTAGAGATTAAGCTCAGATGGCGAGGGAAACAGTGCTGAGATAGACAGCGATGGGAAATGGTGATGCTACTAACAGAAGTCAGAGAAAGGGGTTGCGCTATTTTCTTTACAGGTTGCACAGCAGAATAATAATGAGTAACTTGATTTTGTTCATATTATACATAAAATGTCTGGTCCATCAGAAATGCTTAATAAAAATGTATTAAGGGAAGCTAGAGATAGAAATACAGAAATCATCAGCATAAGAAGAATCATCAAAACCACAGGCTTAGACTATTTTCATTGATAGCAAGGCCTAAGTAACTGGCTGGAGTTGAAGTTATTAACGAACTTTGAGGCCAAGGAGGTAAAAGGTCATAGAGATTACTCTCATCCTCTATAGTAAGAGAAAAATAAAGAAGAAATATAGGAGCTAGATGTAAAGTTATTAAGGAAAGCAGGCAAGTACCCTGGATTTAAAGACAAAGCAAAAAAGAAAAAACATGAAGCACAAATAAGAGCACAGCACACAACTTGGAGAGATGGGCACCTAGCTTGGTCTTCACCTCCATGTTTACACTCTAAGCCACATCCCTTCCAACATTTCAGCCTAATGATTTTTGACTCTTTCAACAGGCCTGGAATCAAGGGATCTAGATGGTGTCAAAATTATGTGATTCTAAATAAAAGATTCTTTTATTCTCACTTCTACTACTGTCCTCAAGGTTCATGCAATATAAAAATACCCTAGAAAGACATTCTATGTACCCTTTAAAACTAAACTCAAGAAAAACTCTTAAGTAATCATTATTTGTCAAGTATCTTAAGTGGATAAGGATTGTTTCTAAGATGTAGAATAAACGTGTGAATAGCACAATTAAAAGCTTTTTTTAAACTAAAAGATTTGTAGCTCTTCTTCTCAAGTTCTGATTTAAATCTGTGACCAACCATAATGTTTGAAAAATTAGAATGTCAGATAAGAGACTCTACAGCTAACCTTACCTCGGAAGCAGGAGCGGCAATATTAACACTGCTTGCCTGCCCGTTCATTAGGTCCATGCTTCCCACAACATCAGTCCTGGACGCTATGTTAACAGCAATAGAAGACTGACGGCTTCACGTCCAAGGCCACAAATACATTATTAGTCCTATAAAAAATACACAGAAAATTTTACATCTATGTCTTATGGAAAGTTTAAAAAAACAATTCCATGCCTATCACCATGCCAAGAAATAAAAAACTACTGAACTGTATTTTTTATTTCAGCTAAGTGACTAAATCCAGCTGGAGGACGATCTTGTACGCTCTTTTCAAATAGTCAGAAACACCAAACGGGCTCAAAACATGTTACTACTCAAAACATGTTAGTGCTATGTTCATCAGTAAAGCGTTAAGTATAATTTTTCACTTATTGTGAGAAAAATTCAAAAACATTTTTTTAGTTTTAAGTAAATAGTGTAAAACAACATGTGGCAAAGTAATACATGGCATAACTCAAGAAATCTTGTAGAGATCTATAAAGCAACAATACTGAGTAAGTTTACCATTGCTGATAAACTGGTTTACATAGATACCACAAATAATTGAAAATAAAATATTATGGAATATGTCATACAGAGACCATAGTATGTTCATTTGTACAGGGTTAAAGTTTATTGAATATCTTCAATCATTATGTCACTGATCTTCACAACTGCCAATAAGACTAAATTGAGGAGGACATTTTTTATGCTCACATAACACAAGGAAACAGAGCCTCTGCTGGTAAATGAAGAGCCAAGAATAAAACTGAAGCCATCTGAAATTCTAGTCAAATATTATTTCCACAACATCACATTTCTTTCCACTATACTGTAAGTAAGAATATTTACTTCTGTTTTCCATCCTGCTCCACAAATAACTTGTTGTATGCGCTATATGTTGGTAACTTCACTTCACCCTTCTAGGATGGAATTTCTTCCTCTCTGTAAAATGACAGCAGCAAAGGGACTCAGGGCCCCTTTCCAACTTTTAATTTCAATAAGCCTTGTGCATAAGAGAAATGGTAAGTTATACTGGCTTTAAAAACTGAGTCTGAAATAGCAATAGTAATTCTCTTGATGCTAAGTTTCCTCTCTCTGGAGAAGCAATACAGACATTGATTTAGAAGCAGACTCTAGAACAAGACTGCCTAAGTTTGAAACCAGCAAATAGTTAACTTTTCTGGGCTCAGTGTCCTTACCTATTTTAAAGGCAAGAGTAAGTACTTACCTCACAGAATTGTGGTGAGGAGAAATGAATACATACAAAGCCCATAAAACAGTGCTGACACATGGTAAGGGTGCAATTACAATGATGCAGATTTTGTCTACTTAATTAATCCACACAAAGCTTAAATTCCATGGAGTCTTTGAATTAAAGATGACAAAAACCTTAGTACACATCTGGCAAAATACATGTTGGTGGGTGTCTCGAAAATCCTAATTGCAAATACAGTGAATGAAAACGCCAAAAATGTTTCCTGAATGTAGCAAAACATGTTGCTGGTTTTCAAATGCTTAAAAATTATTACTAATGATAGCAACCTTTAGTCACATTTTAAATTAATCTTCATTTCTTCAGATATACTCTAAGTACCTGCTAAGAGCAAAACATGGTGATATACTCTTTTTTTAACAAGAAAGATATTAGAAATAATGGGTTTTTAAAACCATTTAGAATCCATTTAGAAAATCAATGCAAAAGTGAACAGAGCACTGAAATACTTTAATTTCCTCTAATCTACAGCATTTCATTTTATAAGCTTCATTATCCTTATGACACTATTAAGGATCAACCTATATTTACATTGCTATATAAAATGAGCTTGATAATCCAAATTCCCTCTGAAGTCAACACTCAGCAATGACATGTTTTCAAATAATTTCATTTCATTCCAGTCTATGCATATTGATTGATTTAGATATGAATCCATAGGTCAAGAGTGCCCCCTAGTGTTAAGAAAATGATTTTAATTAAATTGTTAAAGGAAATGTATTCTTAATCTACTCTTCAAAAACATCAGTTTTTTTTTTTTTTACTATTATTTACTGAAAATGAGATAATACAGACCAGGAATAAGAATTACACATTTTTAGGGGCGTGTGGGTGGCTCAGTTGGTTAAGCGACCGCCTTCTGCTCAGGTCATGATCCTAGAGTCCCAGGATCAAGTCCCACATTGGGCTCCCTGCTCAGCAGGGAGTCTGCTTCTCCCTCTGACCCTCCCCCCTCTCATGCTCTCTCTCTCTCAAATAAATAAATAAATAAATAAATAAATAAAATCTTTTAAAAAGAAGAATTACACATTTTTAAACTATAAGACATTACACATTTTAAACTATAAGAATAAAGTTTTCTCTGCCTAGTTTTAATTAAAATGCCAAATATTCCATAAATATTAAGATTATATTGAAATCCATTACATGTAAAAAAAAACAAAACACAATTACAGCAAAGCATACCTTAAAGAAAATCATATTCAAAACTATTTATAAATGTACTACATGTCAATAGTATTTAATACTGCTGAAGAACAACGAAACTTCATATGATACCATAAAAACACTAAGTCCTTAGAGACAGAAATGGGTTTATTTTTTTAGTATGTATTTCAGGACCTTCCTGTGCTTTGCACACAGGAAGTTCAAATTAAACAAGACAAATACACGCTTTTCCTAGTGTTATGAATGGCACAATCATTCACAATTACCAATATCACAACAGCTCTTTTCTTAATTAAATTCATTATTTCCTACTTATTCTCTTCTCTTCTAAAACTTCTAAAGATAGTTAATCTCTTTTGGTTTTAAACCCAAAACAAGCATATTACTTCTTTCCAAGCAATTATAATCCAAAAACAAGGATATTGCTTCTTTCCAAGCAATATAATCCCCAAACAGGAAATCTGAAACGTGTAGATTTAGTTCCTTGCTTGAGGTCACTGAACTAGATTATTAAACTGCAGGTATATTCAGTCTCCTAAACACCTCACCTTCTCAGTGAGAGTCACACCAGAAACCAGTACTTTTTAATCAAATGAACAAAGGATTAAAGTGTCAACTTCTCAATCTCATTTCACAGTAGCACACAAAAATGTGTTCACAAGCCAGAGAGACTCCTGTAACCCAAGGCAGATGGAGGGAACAAAAAGGCAACATGGGATTCCCACAAATAAATCCCAAAATAAAAATTTACCAACTCTATAACAACACACTATAACTGAAGCAGGAAACGCAACAATTATTAGGATTACCTTTTGAGAACTTTAGATGAACACTTATCTGATAAAGGCTATAAAACAGGAAAGATTGAAATAAAAAACTGAAAACATAATGAGCTGTTATGAAGAATGCAAGATGGGGACGCCTGGGTGGCTCAGCTGGTTAAGCACCTGCCTTTGGCTCAGGTCATGATCCCAGGGTCCTGGGATCAAATCCCCGCATCAGGCTCCTTGCTCAGCAGAGCCTGCTTCTCCCTCTACCTGCCACTCCCCCTGCTTGTGCTCTTTCTCTCGCTCTCTCTCTGGCAAATAAATAAAATCTTAAAAAAGAAAAAAAAGAATGCAAGACAGACAATTGTTAGAAAACCAAAAAAAAAATATTTTTTAAAAAAAGAAAAATTTAGTCACTGGAGAATTAAGCATCAGATTAAACACAACTGAAGAGAATTTGTGAAGTAGAAGAGAGAAAGGAAATTATGCAAAAATTCTGTACAAAGAGTTGTTGATACAATGTATAGAGATCAAGAGAAATGGAAAACAGAATAAGATCTAACACAGTCTAAGAGAAGTTCTAGAGGAAGAGAGATAATGAAAGGCAATATTTAAAGAGATAAAGGCTGAGAAGTTCCCAGAACATGTGAAAGACATAACTCTTCATATTCAGGAATCACAAGCCTTGAACAGGAAAAATTTAAAAAGTCATAGTCTATATACATCACTTTAAATTGGAGAATATTTGTTTTAAAAGCAAGTGGAATAAGGCACTTTACTTACATAGGAACAAAATTATATGGAAAGCTTCTCAACAAAAATAATGCACACAGAAGAAAAGAAAATGTCTTCAAAGTGCTAAAAGAAAGTAACTGTCAACCTAGAATTCCATACCCAGCTAAATTCTCATTCAAGAGTAGGCAAAGACACTTTTAGACAAAGAATTTACCACAAAATTAGTCCATATGGCAAGCAATTAAAAATGTAATACATGAAAAACTAATTTGTCTCAAAGTAGAATTATCTTAATCATGAGTATTTAAATCACAAAGCATTTAAAAGTTCAAAACTAATTTCTATAGCTACTTTTAAAAATGATTATCTACTTTTATGCATATAAAGCAGAAGTATTTCTCCTTTTACAGCAGATACTATCATTTGTTTTATACTGGAATACACAAATCGGTACAATAATCACAAACAAAAAATAACATCCAGGACTGGTTATTACCTCACAGGCCTGCTCTGAGTACTTTTCATTAAAAATTCACTCAATCATCGAAACAACCCTATGAAGTACTAACATTATACCCCATTTTTAGAGATGAGAGGATAGGTAATTTGCCCAAGCTTACACTGTAGGGACAGACAGCTGGAAGGAGGAAAACAGGGAGGACAGATGGAGGGAAAAACAAAAGACAGAAAAGAGAGATGAACTGATAAATGGATAGACAGAAAAAAAAAAAAACAGGACAGAGGAGGAGGGTGTGGAAGAGAGAAAGGAAAGGTGGAGGGGAGAAGGAAGAGGAGGGAAACAAAATGAGGGAAGGAGGGAAACAGATAAGGGAAACTAAAAGGTTGGTCCTAACTCTGAGCAAGTTCATTATGGCTAGAGGGGGGAAAGAGCAGGAAATGAAACAATCAGAATACTACTATCTGTTATACTTCTATTCAGCTTCAAGAGTCACATGATTTCTACAGGATGAAATGATGTTTAAGTTTATAAAGAAAGAAAAGTTGAAGGAGCGGAAGAAAGGAGAAGTAAGAACACCATAAACGAGGGCACAAATTTAAAAGTGAAGATGGCCCAGAGAGGAGGTACAGTGTGGAGTGTTGGCCTGCGGGCTTAGCGGAACCTTTGTGCTGAACTCTGGAAAGGTTCGAAGAAGTGACAGGACCAAACTGTGGAGGGTCTCAA